TGTGGCATAAGGGGCCACGTTGATATATACTTCAATTTGTTTAGAGAAATACTGGTTGGGCTTGAAGAACTAAGACCTGGCTATGATCACTACAGAGGTAAAGGTAAAGAAAGGTCAGTAGGGGTGGGGAGCCCAAGGGCAGAACTTCCTGAGGGCCTGTTTCAGGGTGATAAGACCTCTGAGTGTATCTGGAGTGGAAACCAGGTGACCATGAGATCATCTTTGAATGCAGCATAAAAAGGTTGGGAGAGGCGCACAACGCTGGAGACCTGTAGCAGGAAGTAGTCTCTGAGACTTCAGACTGCAAGAAAGGGTCTCTCAGTCTTACGAACCGGTATCGAGTTCACGACAGTTCTACTATGTCATACAGTAGAATGTTGTCGGAAGACGAGAATACTTGGGAGGAGAAAGAGGGAGAATGGGAGCAAGAGAGAGGAGAGAAGACAGAACAGGAACAGAGTGCTCTTGAAGAACTTTTCCCAAGTGGTAGGAGCCATCCCCAAATCTCCGTGGAGAACAATCCAGGTAAGTCTCTGAGCGAAGTTAGACTCGGGGATGATCCATGTGAATGGAGAAAGTTCCAAGATTTGCTAGATGATAATGGTGAAGAAGGCAACTTTGCGTTCAAGACTAAAAACAGAATTGATGCCTGGCGGATCTGTTAGAAAATAGTAGAAGGGCCAGACAGTGGTGTCCAATGCCTTTCATTACAGCACTCAGGAGGCAGAGACAGCTGGATCTCTGTGAGTTTGAGGCCAGCCTGGTCTACAGGGCAAGTTCCAGGACAGGCAGGACTGTTTCACAGAGAAACCCTGTCTCAAAAACACACACACAAAAAAAAATAAAATAGAATAAAATAAAAAATAAATAGTAGAAGGTTGGGGTATACGTGAGTATATTAAGAACTGTCTAAAGGTCTTGTACAAGCTGATAGGGACATTGGGCTTTTAAACAGCAGGAACAGGCATGTTGTTGTTTGGGAATTTGTGGGCATGAGGATATTCACAAAGAGAATGAAGGTTTTAAGTCCCTGATGCCTGGCAGAGGAAAATGGATGCTTCAGAATTGAGATAAATCAAGAAGGAAGTCTGAGAGAAATGCGCTCCAGGTGATGGTGTTGGGCAAATGTCAGGCGGCCTGTGTCCTATATAATAGGGCTGATTTTAGAGACAAAAACAGGATTGAGGGATGTGAGAGAGTCACCCTCAGCTGCCGTCTAACACAGAAGGATAAATTGAAGATAATTTGATAGTCAAGAAATACACAGTACCGATGCAAGTTTATGAAGCAAGCCCCCTCCTAGTAGAGGAAATTGACAGTGGGGTAAGATGAGAAATGAGTTCATAGGACTTAGGTTATAGAAGGAAAAAATGAATAGGGGTATGAAATGTGGAATCTCGGCTAGTGACAGAAAGTATGCTCTTGTGGCTAGGAGGGCAGTGTAGAGGAGCTAGACAACAGAAGCATTCTCCACTTTATTACCTTGTGCCAACCCTCAGAGAGCAAGGCACTGGGCTCAAGAGCAACTGGTAGAGCTACCGGATGGCAGATGGTTTGGGAGGAAGAATCAGTGGAAGCTCTAAAGATGGAATCTCCAAGGGAGAATGAAGGGGGTAGACTCTTTCAAGAGAAATTAGGTAGGGGAAAAGAACTGACACAGGAAAAGCCATTGAGGAAGCAGAAAGATTGTACATTAAGAGCTTCCTGCCTCTTTCTGGTTCTTGTCCTAAAATGATCAAGGTCACTGAGAATTTATCAAGTCAGATGGCCATTCACCACGGAAAGATGTTGTTCAATTTACATTGGTGCCAGGCCATTTCCTGGGTTATATTTCACTCTTAATGTCCCAATTAAGAGAGGTTAGACACACAATACCTTAAAGGGGATGTTGAAGGTATTTGGAGAAAATTTGGAAACCTATGGTGGTGAGGAGAGCCCACGATGTTCAGAAGACACTGGACCATTGTGTGCCTATTACCTATAGGACATTGTCTGGAGAGGTCATAAAAATAATTGACAGGCATCCCAGTAACAATTCCTTGACCTCTCAATCTGGGCAGTACCCCAGTTCTTCTCCTAGTCACCTTGAGAGAGAATCAGACAGAAAGAGTCACTCAACAATACAAGTAGAGAGCAAGAGGGCTCCACAGTGCCAGAGATGCTAAAGATGCTAAAGAAGAGAATATAAACGGAAGTGATGGAGAGAAGGGAGGGGATGAAAGAGAGAGAGGGGGGAGAAAAAGAGAGAGGAGAGGAGAGGAGAGGAGAGGAGAGGAGAGGAGAGGAGAGGAGAGGAGAGGAGAGGAGAGGAGAGGAGAGGAGAGGAGAGGAG